TTAAGTCCCCTCCCCCAGGAAATTTTTAAAATATGTGGAAAATACACAGTGCATAAAAATTGCATTGTAAGGTTTTGTTTTTGTTTTGTCTTTTTTGACACAGGATCTCCCTGTAGCTCCAGCTGACCTGGAACTCATTATGTAGACCAGGCTGGCCTCAAACTCACAGAGATCCACCTACCTCTGCCTCTTGAATGCTAGGATTACAGGTGTTCGCCACTACGCACAGCAATATTTATTTATTTTTATGTGTGTGAGTGTTTTGCCTGCGTGGATGTAAGTGCACCACATGTGCAGTGCCTGTGGAGGCCAGAAGATGATGCCAGATCCTCTGGAACTGGAGTTACAGATGGTCGTCAACCACCATGTGGGTGCTGGGAATCAAACCCCAGTCCTTAGGAAGAGCAGCCAATGCTCTTAACTACTGAGACATCTCTCTCAGCCCCTATTGCTCTCTATTTATTGAGGCAAAGTCTCTTAATGAACCCAGAGCGTGCCTGATTTAGCTAGCCTAGCTAGCCAGCTTATTCAGGAGATATTTTTACCTCCCATTAGTGGGATTGCAGGAGGGCTGCCACGCCCACCCAGCTTTATATGGATGCTAATGATCTGAACTAAGGTCCTCATGCTTGTGCTGCAAGCACTTTATCCATTGAGCCATCTCCCAGCCCCTTATATGTTTGCTATTAAACTTGCTTTCTTTGTTACAATAAGTTCTGATGCATTTAACTGAATATTCTGGGTTCCTTAGAACCCCTTTGGAATCTAATCACAGAAACATAGCTCTTTTCTTCTTTCCTGTCACATACAATAATCACTGCCTGGGAGATGTCTGGGCTGCTAGACCGACCTTATTCTTCTTTTAGTGTTTTTAATTGCTAAATATTTGTACATTTCCTTCCTCAACCAAAATGGGAATAGCAAGAGTTAGCCTGCCTAAGTCTTAAGGCTTTTGTCATCTTAACTGTCAAAATACACTGAAATGACACAAAATTATTCAACTAGATAGTGAAGGATCTCTGCCAAAAACTCTGCTAGAATGCCAGGCATAGTGACGCACGCCTTTAATCCCAGCACTCAGGAGGCAGAGACAGGCAGATCTCAGTAAGATCTAGGCCAATCTAGTTTATATAGGGAGTTCTAGGCCAGCTGGGGCTGCAGGAGATCCTGTCTCAAAACAACAACAAAAATCCCCAGAAAACAAAATAAAAACAAAAAAACAACTATGCTAAAATTTGAGAATGAATGGCCTAAAACTTTTATTTCTGTTTATAATTACAAAGCGTGACCAGTTGTCTTTTGAGGATTTTACAATTACAAATGACAAATGACCCTGGAAATCTAGGATCTTTGTATTAATAGGGCATGACAGTGGGTGTGAAAAATAAACCATCATTTTGCCATTTATTTCTTCTACATCAGCAATATGCAATTACACACATTTGGTTGACAGGACTCATCCTGTTAAACATGAGTTCATAGTCATTTCCTGTCTCCTGCTACTTTCTAAAGTAATGAAAAGGAGCTCCCAGGATAAGTGGACACACGGCAGTCACGGTGTTAGAATAAAATGCATTTGGTCACAGTGGCTTTCAGGCATCAGATTCCTGACATCTTGTGGGCCAAGGCTGGCATCTACACCTGATCCACTTCTTAGAATTCCTGAGATTCTTCCCCATGACTCTGATTTGAAGAGTCACTACTGTCGATCCCTGCAGAAAGAAGGAAAAGTCCTGAACAGTCTTAGTCTGAGTCTTAGAAACAACCCAGTAGGAGACTGGTGAGAAAAACTGGAAGAGAAGGCTGGGGAGATGCCCCAGTCAGTAAAGTGTTTGCCACTGAAACACAAGAACCCAGGTCCAGATCCCCAGCACCCACGTAAAACAAAACAAAAAAATAACTGAGCCCAATGGCATGCATTTGTCATCCCAGAGCTGAGAAGGCAGACACAGGAGGATTCCTGAAGTCTGCTGGCCAGTCAGCCTAACTGAATCAGTGAGCTCCAGCTCAGTGACACCTCCGTCTCCAAAAATAAAATGGAGCATGACTAATGAGATCTAACACCAACCTCTGACCGCCACACCATGTACAGAAACACCTGTGCACATATATACACACATATGCACACACATCACACAAACAAAGGAAAAACCTCATCAGCCTGTATGAGGGTGTAGGGACAGACTTGCTAGACTGTGTGAAAAGGGTGGGACAAACCTGCAGTCAGCTTGGGAGCTGTAGGGAGAGTTCTGTAGCAGGCCAGCCTTGCACTGGTCAAGCTTGTTCCAGGGATGTCTTTGCCAGGGTGAGCATTCCCTTTGACCACTGTACCTTATACCCTGCGCCCCGATCTACTTGTTTAGCAGAAGCTTCATCTCTGTTTCTTTTTGAAATTTTAAAAATTTATTTACCTTTATTTTATTTGTACAAGTATTTTGTCTGTATGTACGTAAGTGCATCACAGGTGTGCAATGCCTGTAGCGGACAGAAGAGGGCATCGGACCCCCTGGAACTAAAATTACAGATGGTAATCAAACCCGGGTCCCCTGGAAGAGCTGTTTAAGTGCTCATAACCACGGTACCATCTCTCCAGCCCCAGCTCTGTTTCTTATGAAATAGGGGCCTTGGTAGACAGTTGAAGTAAACATTTAAGATCTCAGAGCCTCCATCAGTGGGGCCCAAATGATCATGTGAAGCAAAGTGAATTCTCCACCCAGGATTGACTTCATCTTCTTGAATGAAAAATAAACTTGTATTGTGTTTGTGCTAGTGACTATTTTGAAGCCTTTTTGTCATACCAAATAGCCCAAGTTATCTAGTTCAAAATGCATTAGATAAATCATCTAGAATCCCAACAAGTTAATTTTTTCACCTTAAAGGATATTTAAAAATTGGAATGAAGCTTCTCTAGTGTAGACAAGTATTCACTGCATCTACAATCTTTATTGCTCTTACGTCTTATCCTTTTGCATGGCCTCCTAGAGGATGTGCTTCCAGTATCCGAAGAATCTAGAAAGAAAAGGAAAAAAGAAAACCAGTAATCTAGACCTAAAAGGGCTACGAAAATTCTCTGACTACTTAAGTCACAGAATTTGGACTACAAAGATGCTTTGATGATCCTTTCTGTTTTTTCCCCTCTATAAAGGATAGAGACCCACAATCATTTAGCCCTAACTGCAGAATCAGAGGTGTTTTGAAACCAATATTTTTTCATAGTTCTTCAGGTACCTAATTTAGTAGTAAATCTGAACTTGAGTACAAGACCATGTGAAATCTTTTTGGTATTAATGTTCATCAATGTGCTGCAGAAATATTAATTAAAATTGTACATTTGGGAATAGAATTCTGCACCAGGGCCAGGCCTGGTGGTGCATGCCTTTAATCCTAGCACTTGGGAGGCAGATGAAGGTGGATCTCTGTGAGTTCAAGGCTAGCCTGGTCTACATGGTGAGTTCCAGGCCAGCTTGGACCAAAAAAAAAAAAAAGAAGAACCCCCCCCCCGCAAAAAAAAATTTCTGCACTCGATTCTCCTGGGATGCTTTGTAATATAGAATATTACCCATGTTCTTTTTTATCTTTTTCTAAAAAAGACTTATTTATTTTTATTTTATGTGTATGACTGTTTGCTTCTGTGTATATATGTGTACATGTACATGCCTGGTACCCAAGGAGGCCAGAAGGCACTGGAGTCCCTGGAACTGGAGTTACAGACAGTTGTAGATCACCATGTAGGTGCTGGAAACTGAACTCTGGTCCTCTGCAAGAGCAGCAAGTACTCTTAACCGCTGAGCCATCTTTCCATCCCCCACATTATTTTCCTTAAATAATGAGATTTATTTGGCTTCAAATGTTTTGAACAAAGGATTATGGATGTTGCTAAGGGTCCAGGCTACTGATTCCGCCTCTTTTGTAGCTTTCCATGTAAGATGTGCATTGGAATTTTCCCATCTGTGAAATGAGACAAACAGCAGCTATCTGGTCTACCTTTTGGTGGTGGTAAAGATAAATACAGACCTTATTTACAAAGACAGTTTGAAACATTATTATTTGGTCATTGCTAAGTTGGGGGTCATCTGTCAAAATCTATAAACTAAATTTAACAGTAATAACCAAAAGGCTTTGCCAATCATTAGAGAGTGTAAACAGAACTTTTGTTTGTTTTCAGTTTAGAACAAATACGCAATAAAATCAAACAATAGAAGGTGATCTCTTTTTCTTCTCTACAAAATGTGGGATGAACTGAAGGAGAAGTCATGCTGCAACATCAATATTTGGCTGACAGGTCTGGTGGTATATAATAAAAGGGGCACTGCCACTCAGTTACAGCCATCTCCTTAAGCCTGAATTCAGAATGATCTCTCTGCAATTTTCAAATAGTCTGGATAAGAGAACCGGCTCCCGAGCGGCGTGCTGTGCTGTGTGCTCAGAGTAATAACAGCAGGGAGCCGAAGCTCTGAACTCCTATCTGGGGGTCTAAGCAGGTCATCCTTGCTTCTCACCCAGCTCAGCGCTCAGGATTGAGCTCCAGGCTTCTGGGAGCATCGCCTCCTGCACACAAAAGTTATAGCCGGGATGCCTGTCAGTTGTTGCTGTGTAAGCATAATGACCTGGGTTCCAACCAAATAACCTACCTTAAAAAATTAAGTATGATGGATTGTCTCCGTGTAAGACAGGTAACCAAGAAAAGAAAATTCTAGAGGAAGGAAACTGGGAAAACCTTGCAAAGCTTTGAAATGCCAGAGCAAGAATGCACTTCCTGTTGGGCTTCTATGATTTCCCTTTCAAATCTGTGTGGTTATGGTTAGTATTTATCTTTGCTGTCACCTAAGCCTGTGATGAGAAAATTTCACCCCCAGGGGCATCTCTGCTGTCTTGACCCTCAGTCTTCTCACGCTACTTTCCTCTGACTTGTCCTTATGGACTTGTTGTCTGTGTTTGTATACATTTATAGCTTTGCTTCTCTCTTGGAGCAATTGTGGAAGTGTGGTATAAAGAAAGTAGACTCTCTACTTGATTATTTCCCTAATGACCACTGGAAATAAAACCAGGCCCCTCTCCCATCCAAGGATACATAGAGGGCTGGAGAGATGGCTCAGCAGTTAAGAGCAATGGCTGCTCTTGCAGAGGACCCGGGTTTGGTTCCCAACATCCATATGGTGACTAATAACTGCCCATAACTCTAGTTCCAGGGGAACCAATGCCCTGTTCTGGCCTCCATGTGCACTGCACAACATGGGTGCACTTACATACACACTTATATACATTCAGGCAAAACAGTCATACACATAAAAATAATTTTTTTAAAGATCTGTAGAATGTTTATTGAGAAAAAATTAGACTGCTATTAAAATTTTTTAAAAAGCTTTACTATGTGAAATCATTAACATTTTTGGATTCATCTGTTAAAGCAGTTAGTTAGCTTACCTAATAAAAGTTGAAATAGGAACCACCTAAAATTAAAATTAGAATGAATCTCTTATTGAATACACAGTTCATTAATTGCCATGAAGAGTTCTTATTTTCTCTTACCTCTTTTTACGAGCATTTTTGTCAATGTGGGTGATTTCCTGGAATCCACAGGCTCTGTAAAATAAAAGGGAGGAAAATCATAATTTTTACATAATGACAAGTTCTGTGACAACTCACATATAAAATGGGCTGGCAGTCCTCAGGACAATGGACAAGTGTTCCTCCTTTTCTTTCTATTGAACCCAGTTCTGCAGGCCAAGGGTCGTAACGCTGGGATCCATCCTGGCTTGCTCCTTAATTTTTGCAGGAGTCTGTACATTGGTCTTGAGCACTACTAGCTCAAGGTTTCTGTAAATGGGCACCAACCCAATTACCATGCCTTCCTGTTAAGGTTTTGCAATTACAAAATAGTACTTTATTCATCACAACCTTATGAAAAAAATCACAATATATGCCAACATTTAAACTATAATTTGGATAGGGATATCTGAAGTCATTTAAAAATATTTATTTTTATTTTGTATGAGTGTTTGCCTCCACATCTGTGTGTGCATCATGTGCATGCAGTGCCCACAAAGACCAGAAGAGGGCACAAGATCCCCTGAGACTAGATTTACTGATGTGAGATGCCATGTGAGTACCTGGAACCAAACTTGGGTCCTCTGCAAAAGCAGCAAGTGCTCTTAACTGCTGAGCCAGTTCTCTAGCCCCTAGTCTTTTTAAAATCTGCTTAATAAGTAAATACCACTAATTACTCTTTGTGGACTTTCTAAGCTAGCAACTAATAACAGTATTATCAATGAACCAAGAAATAATATGCTTATTGAGCACTGTAAAATAAGAAAGGTCATGTCAGAGTAAACACATTATTTCAACTCTTTAGTATTAATAGATATGACCACACATAGTAAAGAAACTGGTTTTTGAGACAGGGTCTCCCTGTAACCCCAGCTGGCCTGAAACTCACTATGCAGACCAGGGTGGCCTCAGTCTCACAGAGATCTGCCTACTTCTGCCTCCTGAGTTCTGGGATTAAAGGCGTGTGCCAACACTCCTGGTGAGACTGTCTTTTTACTAGTGTATTTTTGCTGCATTTCACCATATTTGTTGGAATTGCCCAACTAAATAAGTCTGTGATGCCTTCTTGATGTCTTCCATTTCCTAATCAGACCAGAGAAGTAAAATACAGAAAATGGTACCCTAGAGTTATCAAGTTGAGGCATATGGAGAATTCTTGGATTAAAATTCGTCAGGAAACAGAAATCTGCACTTGGATCTAGCATACTATAGTCCAGGAGTTGTAACTCTGATCATCTTAATTGTACAGTCTGGTATCATGAGCACATGGCATCTTTAGGTCTCTTATCTGTCACATGATTCTAATATGTCATGATCATTGATCACAGTACAGAGTGCTGTTCTTTATTTTTGAGATTAAGTTTAAATTATGTGTCTGTGTATGTGCACTTGTGCAGGTACATGTGAATGCCAGAGGAAAGTGTCAGATCCCCTCGAACTGGAGTTACAAGTGACTGTGCACTGCCATGTGGGTGCTGGGAACCAAACCCAGGTCCTCTGCAAAAGCAGTAAGTGCTCTTAACAGCTGAGTCATCTCTTTAGCTCAAGAACAGAACTCTTTAGGGGTTACTAATTTTGAGTAAGGAATCAAGGAAATTCCTTAATATGAAAACTTAGAAATGCCCTAACACCTTGAATAAATCCTGGCCTTCATGTGGGCTTCCCCGGTCTACTCTTTTAAGTTACCAGCCCTGGCATGGTGCAACTTGGCTCACCTGGACTTTTCTTTCTAGGCTTGTCTTTTTGACTTCTTAGCCCTCCTTAATTTTCCTCAAATATCTGCCTCTGTGTTTCTTACAGAGAGACCTTGGAAATATTTTGTTGGGTGGGGGTGCAGAAGGCCTGGGGAGATAGCTCAGTTGGTAAAGTTCTTTCCACACAAGCATGAGAACCCAAGTTTGATTTCTGGAATGTAAAAAATCAAGTGTGGTGGCTCACACTTGTAATAGCAGCCTTAGGAAGGGAGAAACAGGTGCATCTCTGAGACTTACTGGCCAGGCAGCCTAGACTAATTACTGAGTCCCAGGTCTCAGTGAGAAGCTTTATCTCAAAAAAGGTGGATGGTTCCTAAGGAATGACACACAAGGGTGACCTCTGGCTTCCACATGCACACATACACACGAACACACACATACACACATACACAATTTAAAAGAACTCATTGGAGATGGAGAGATGGCTCAGTGGTTAAGAGCTCTTGCAAAACTCAAGTTAGGATCCCAGTATCTATGGTGGGAAGCTCACAACTGCATATAACTCTAGATCTAGGGGATCTGACATCCTCTCCTGGCCTCTGTGGGTACATACCTACCCACAGATACATACACATATACATAATTTAAACTTTTTAAAAAATTCTTAATAAAAGAACTCAGGGCTGAGAGATGGCTCAGCAGTTAAGAACCATCTTAACTGACTGTTCTTGTAGAGGATCCAGGTTCAGTTCCCAGCACCCACATGGCTATTAACAAGAGCCTGTAACTCCAGTTCCAGGGTAATCCAATGCCCTCTTCTGGCCTCTGTGGTCATTGCATGGACAGGCGCACTTACATACATGCAGGCAAAACACTCATAGCACATAAAATTTAAAATTTTTTACAAGAGCTCATTATTTTGCTAAGCTATTTCTATTATGTAGTCAATGGATGACTGTATCCATCAATAGGATCCATCAATTGACAAGCCTAACTTTAAAAAGTGTGCAATGATTTGTTGTGTCCCTTCATTTCCCAAAAGAGTCAAATCAAATAATGCAGAGAACAGGATCCCCAGATAAACTGGATCTTTATACAAAGAGACTCAGAACTGAACATCAAGAGATGGCAGTTCTTGGTCCAGACGCCACAGCACGAGCCTTGCTCTCGGGGCTTCCTTACTTGACCAGCTGGGTGCTGAGGTGCAGGCTTCTTCTCCATCATCAGAATCCTCGCTCGAGATGACTGCACAAAGGAAGAAAGTCTTGTAAGAGTCTCAGGAGTGACCAAGGACCCACACAGCAAAGGACCCCAGAGTGCGACACAAGGAGGGCTGAGGAGTGAACTCCAGCCTGTGGCAGGCCATTCCTCCCAAGGCTGTGACTTGAAGGTGGTTCCAGGCTCTAAGCCAACAACTGATGAGACAGCCAGAGATGACTTCTCTCAACCACGGACACTCTTCCACCTCCACCCTTGGCCCATTTCTTACCTCACCTCTTTCTGTCATTCATTTTATCCCTTAGCATCTTTCTTGGCTCTACCCATCACTCCTGTTCTGCACTTGTACTGAAGTCAATCTCTTCCTACCTCTTGAATGTTTTCTGTCCATCTCCTTTCCCTGATTTTATTTTCCCATTTTCTTTAACTCCTACCCATTACTGCCTTCTCTTCTTTTAGAAAGATCCTCTCCAGCCTCAACATTAATAAACCTCCATTTCTACCTTTCGGTATGTTCCCCAATTCCCTCTTCTAAGCTGAAGGCTTATTTCAGCTTCTACAGTGACTGACTTCCTCCCCTACCTGCCTCTACCCCAGGCCACCTGGGTTGCTCTGATGGCCCCTGGTGACATGCCCAAACCCTGCCTGGGAACCAGTGACTCAGGAATGGTTACAAGTTTTTCGTTTGTCCTTACCTATGAAGTCAGATGCCTGGTTATGGTAAACGCTTGCTTGGTTTTGTTGCTCTTCTGAGCAAAATGATAACTTTTCCTTCTTTATATCTACTAGTTGCACAGAACAGGGATTAATTTGAATTCCATTGGTGAGTGGTTCTACTCCTGGGCAAAATTATAAAGAATTGTCAGGGATGGGGAGATAGTTTGGTCTGTAAAGCATGAGGACCTGAGTTCAATCGTCATGACAACAAGCCAACTATGGTGGCAATCCCAGCCTGATGGAGGTAGAAATGGGTAGATCCCTGGGGATCAATGGTTAGCAAGCCTAGCCTAATCAGCAAGCTTCGGGCCAACTAGACACCTTGTGTCAAAAAAGAAAGATGAATGGCACCGGAATATCACCAGAGGTTGACTTCTGGCCTCCATACTCACATGCACACATGTGCACGCAGACTTGTTCACAGAGGAGCCTGCACACAAAGACTTTTTATTCATCTGTCCAGACCCTTTGACACCATCAATGACTCTTCCTGCCACCGTCACCGCTGCTCAGCTCTCCCCTTTCCCTATTCTCCCCATCCTTTGATGAAGAATTGTTTTGGATATTTTAAAAATAAAATTAAGCCAGGCATGGTAATACACACTTATACTCCCAGCACTTGAGGAGCCAGTGCAGAAGGATGAGGTCAAGGTCAGCCTGGGCTACATAGCAAGAACCTGTCTCAAAAAATAAATGAAAATAAAAATTCTAACTGCAGTATAACGTGTAGAGATAAAAGCGGAGTTTAAATAGTTACAAGGTATCATATCACTTTGGTTAAAAAAACAGATGACTAAGGGGGCTGGAGAGACGGCTCCATGGTTAAGAGCACTGGCTGCTCTTACAGGAGACCTGCATTCAACTCCCAGCACCCACATAGCAGCTAACAACCGTCTGTAACTCCAGTCTCAGGGGGTGGGATGACCTCTCCTGGCCTCCACAGGCATTGCACACATATAGTGCACTTACATACATGCAGGCAAAACACTCATACACATAAAATAAAAATAATAGACGACTAACACTCCGGAGGCCTTTTGGTGACATATCAAGCTCTCCCCACTGTTTTTCTCCAAGTCAACCATCATCTCAAGTTTCAAGACCTACATCAATTTTGCTTCTTGTATAACTGATATAAACAGAATCATAACCATGTTATCTTAACTCTCTCTATTCTCAAAGATGCCAAATTTACATATGTATATGTGCATATGTAAGTAATATGCATATATTATGCTTGTGAGAGTCTTCTATATTATTACTTCCACAGGCCAGTCTCAAACTCTATGCTATGTGGGAGGGTGGTGCTGGGATTGAATTCAGGGTCTCATACATGCCACACAAACATTCTACCACTGATCTACATTTCCAACCCCAAATATATGCTATAATTTTTCAACCGTTAATTTTGAAAATGGTTAAGATAGAAAAAACGAAAACAACCCTATCAAACAAACATAGTCGCCAGAAAAACAAACTGGTAAGGCAAGCAACGGTTACTTTCTTCTTTCCGGGTCAGCCGGCTGGGGGCCTCCAGGCTTGCACCTCCACTGTGCCCTTGGGCTTCTATTAGCTCACAGGAATCTGAGGATAGAAAGACCACAGGTGAGCACCAATAGAGTCTTGCCCCGCCCTAGTTTGGCCCCTTCTGCCCCACCCCGTTTCTCTCCCCATTTCTACCTCTAGCCCTGGCTGCGCACACTGTCACCCCCATCCCTGAAGGTGTTTGGGTACCACCGACTCTGTGGACAATCCCTCTGACTTTTGTCTTTCATTCTCTTTTCCCCAGTGAAGTTCTCCAACTCTCCCCAACGTGGGGTCTCAGTTTTCCATTCTAACTACTCTCCCCAGGTCTCATCTCTGCCTACATCAAGACATCAGCCCAGTCCTCTGTTCCCAGCCCAGGACCCCTTAGCTCCTACACCCTCGCCAACAGTCAGCCCCTCTTACGTGCGAGCTCGGGCTCTGGAGCATGTGATCCGCTCGCTGGTTGTGTTTCTGGTGCGTCATTTTTATCACTGCCTGTGTCTCCTTTCTCTCTGTTCATCTGTGCTGTTTCGCAGAGGTGCTCTGAGACTCCATTTTCAAGCAAGCTTATACCTAAACCACATTTTAATTCATAAATGTTTTATTTGCCCCTTGCATGAGGATACAATAGGGAAAGTCAAATAACTCTAAACTCTGAAGGAAGGGAGGGTTTAATCCAGTTTCTGGAAGAGCTAAGAGTTCAAATGTTCAAATGCAGCAGCAAGGAAGGGAGGAGAGGCTTGGGTGGGGTGGGGTCACGGCGCCAGGTCCTGGGGTGGGCGGAAGCTGGAGTAGGGTTGGCCTCAGGAAGAAGGTGGAGTCTTGGGGAGATGCAGCGACCACCAAACTGCACCCCAAAGCAGTCAGTGATGGGGAAACGCTGGGCTTTACTTCCTCAACTGTCTGAACTTCTGCATGTCTTATTAGGAACCCTGTGGAAAGCTAGAAAGGGGATTTGTCAAGGAAAAGGGCAGGGGCCTCAGGCCAAAGGCAGGGGCGAGGGTCAAGAAGGGGCTAGGTAGAAAATGAGCAGAGCAAACACGTGGGGATTGGTACCCTCTCCATCACACCCAGGAAACCTCCCTGGCCCACTGTGGATTGTCTACTCTGTTTCACTAACCTCAATAGTATATGAATGGATAATATATTTTACAGCTCAGTTCCATGTTTGTCATTTAATATCTTTCTAAACAAAATTTAAAAAATGATTGAAAAAGTAATTAAGGAACTTTTACTATAGAACATGAACCTGGGTGCATGATTTGTACCACCTTCCGTTGCTGCCTTTGGGGGTTGCAGGCATAATCACAGCTCTCACCCTGTCTGTGTGCATCACAGTCAGTGTCTGCTAGGTCAGACTGTTGGACAGCTTACTGGTGGCTTGTATGCTCTAAGGCCCGTCCGGGTGGTGGGTTGACTTTTTTATATATTCATCCAGTCCTGTCACTCGCACTTACATACATGCAGGCAAAACACTCATGCACATAAATAACCACTGAGCCATCTCTCCAGCCTCCATATTTTTATATTTTTAAATGTTAAAATTTTTGAATAAAAGAGATTTTTCTAAAAGTATAACTATTTTTAAAAGTCACTCTGAATTTTTTTCCTATAAAAATACATTGCTAATTTGCTTTTAAAAATTTCTTCTTAACAGGCTGGAGAGGTGGCTCAGTGGTTAAGAGCACTGGCTACTCTTGCAGAGGTCCAGGGTTTGATTCCCAGCACCCACATGGCGGCTAACAACCATCTGTAACTCTGGTTCCAGGGGACCTGACATCCTCTTCTGACCTTTGTGGGAAATGCACAATATGGGTGCACTTAGATACATGCAGGCGATACACTCGTATACATAAAATAAAAATAATAAAATCTTTTTTAAAGAATCTCTTCTTAAATGACATATCCCATTGGAAACATATAATAAGGACTTCAAAAGAGTGGTAGAGGTTTGTTTCCAAAGATGAGTAATGAAGGAAGAAATAAATACTGTTGTATATACACCAATGTGATTTAGGGGGCTGGAGCGTCTATGGCTCTCAGTTTTATATTTTTGGTTGGTATTTCTTCTCTCATTGCTTCTCCAGTCTAGGGAATGATTTCATTTACAATGAGTATCCACGTCAGACACACAGAGAGAAGAAAATCCCTACATTTAGTGTCATGGTGAACAGCTTAGATTCTGGAGGTAAACAGTAGCAGTGATTAAATTAGTAATAAGCACAAACAGATGTGATGCTGACGAAGTGCCAAGCATGGCATGCTTTTCATGATGGCACTTGACTTCCACCCTCTGATGTAAGTCCCTTACCACATTCCTGTTGTACATGACACTGGGGCCCAGAGAGGTAGGTGACCTGTCCAAGATCAGAGAGGCAGGGTTTCAACCCAGAACTTCTCTGACATTATCTTAGAACACAGTTAACTTCTAATTCTTAGTTGGGCGACTTTGCACAAAGTTCAAACCCTCCACCTCCCAAAACCAAGTTTTCTTCCTCTGAAAAATGGGGAAGATGTGCCATCATTTAAAATTTGTTGAGAAGATAAATGTGATAATCCTGTGTCAACATTCAGGATAGTGAAGCTCATCAGAAAAGAAAACTATCGTAATTAATGCCTTAAATTTAGAATATTCTCTGTAATAATATTTTTTTAACTATTTACTAAGAGATTAAAGGAGAGTCAAGAAGTTAAAGTACTGAAGGGTTTTTGTGGTGACTCTCTTGCTTAGAGAGAGGATCCCAACTTGCTAACCCAGTGATGTCCAATAAGGGTATCATATGTGAGACACTTTTTTTTTTAAGATTTGTTTTATTTTATGTGTATGGATGCTTGTATGCATGTGCACGCAGTACCCACAGAGACCAGAAGAGGATACTAGATTCCCTGGAACTGGAGTTATAGGTGGTTGTGAGCTGCATATGGGTGCTGGGAACTAAACCCTGGTCATATACAAGAGCAGCCAGTACTCTTAACCATGGAGCCAACTCTCCAGCTCTGGTGCTGTGGCCTTATGTGATGGACCCAAAGGGCAAAATTCTTTGCCTCACAGCAGGAATGTGTTCATCATACCCCTCCAACCATCACTGGACATAAGATCAAAGCATATAGGCAGTATCCAAATTCAGGCAAGACCAAGCCAACAACTGTGATTCCAGGAACATGGGCAAAATGCCCAGGAGAAACTCTCCTATGTAACACAGAGGACTGAGACCCTGACATTTAAACCCTGTATTTGGAGAAACACAGATGCAAACACAAAACACTGTGAGCAGCCAGTGACACGAGGAAAGAGCACCCCCAGCCCATAAGAAGAGAGAGCAACCACCACAAAGTCAGCAGGAAAACAGACCATCAGAACAGCAGGGATCTAAAGGTGACCACGTCAGGCTTCTTTGAGAACAGTTTTCACCAGGTCCTAAGGAGAAGAAATTAGAAATTTATTTCAGAAATTGAACAGGGACTCTCTTTTGTCTTTATAATGCAGGAACTGAAGACCCCCCCGCCTCAAGCATCAATCCAGAGTCCATTTGGAGATGACAAGACTCACCTGATTATTCAAGTCAGGCTCTAGCTCTGAGAACGGGAGGCTGGGTCAGCCCTGGCTGAGGGCTTCACTAGGCTACCTCGCTAGAGTCCTCCCTGAAGCACTCTACTACCTGGGGATAACTAGTCTTCATATCTGTGGCTAAAGAGTTTCTGCATGTGTCCCCAAAGCTGCACTGTGTGGGAGGCAGTACAAGGTTAAGAATACAGATTCTGCCTCCAGAATCCTTTGATTCTCCCATGTTCATTTGACCATGAAAAACTCCATACACGGTCTCTCTGGATTTCAGTTTCCTCTTCTACAAACTGGGCATTTAAGTGACGTCAATCCAGGCTGATCTGGAACTCTCACAGATCCTTCTGTCTCTGCCTGTCTCTTGAGTATGCCACCATGCCCAACTGTTTTGTGTTTTGTTGGAGATAGAGTTTTACTATGTAATACAGGCTGGCCTCAAACTCACAGTCCTCCTACCTCAGTCCCGAGTGCCCAGCTTCTCCCAATCTGTCCCAGTAACAGAAAGCTGACCAACACAGGATGCATACAAATTCCCCCTCCTTGCCTTTTCTACAGCTCTGCCACATTTCTTCCCTGATCTATATTCTCTGCTAAGGGTTGCCCTTATTTCCTGTTCTCTGAGGTGATAAGAAACTCTTCAGTTGTAATTACCTTGTTCAAGACTTAGCTGGGAGTTCGGATCCTCCCCTCTCTGTTCTGCATTGCCTCTTTGGTAACACAGTTTGTTTTGGATCACTGAAGTGGGAGAGAAGAGGGAAGAGGAGGAGGAAACAATTAGACATCTCCATCAGGGACCAGGGGCTGCCTTTCAGAATTACATATCTAGAAATTTCCAGCCCTCCACTCCCTCCAAGTTCATTGGATCTCACATGACAACATTCACCCATTATGCTGTGGGACACAAAAAAGAAGGCTTTTATAAGACAGCCTTATATGTCCCACATAGAAAGGAGACATTTGGGGTTAAGGATAAAGAAGTATAGGAGATACATTGTGAGCTGTGCTACTCTTCAAAGAAATATTCAGAGGGCATGTGTCAAAACAAAAAATAGAAATCAAATGTGGCTTCTGGACTGCTCCAGCTATAAGAACAGGGGGCTTCCTGGATGGAAGATCTAGCAAAGCCCAGCAGTTTTACAGATGGGCTAGATGGGGCTTGAGAGATGGCTCCGTGATTTAAGAGTATGTACTGCTCTTGCACAGGACCCAAGTTCAATTCCCACCATCCATGTCAGGTGACTCACAATTGCCTGTAACTCCAGCTCCAGGATTTTCAATGTCTCTGGTGTCCGCAGGCACTGCCACTCATATGCACATAATTTAAAAATTAAAATATCTTAAAGATGGGTTAGAAAAGCAGGGGACTGGATCTTAACTGGGTCAGGGAGAGTGAGTGATTTCCAAAGGGACAAAACAAGACCCAGGGGCAGTTTGGATGGGCATGAGTGTGTGAGAGGTGGCGGTATTTCCCCCAAGTTCAGGTTGGAAGGATGTACTGAGGGATCGTGAACCTCAGGTATGGAAACTAACATTTGAGGTGTCGCCGGGGAGGGGGATCCCAGCTGCCCATGGTGGAGGCCAGAACCACTAGGATGGTAACATCATTCACTTTGTGCTCTCAGCCTGGGGACATCCTGGTTACAAATAAATATTGCCTAGAAATTAGTGCCCAGGCATCTGCTTTCCTTTGTTCTTTTCTGACTTGAATGATCTGCTATAGAAATTATTTTTTTCTTCATTAGATAGGCTTACCATTAGCATAAGTCAATAAGCCATAGACACTTGCTCCTAATCTTTGTTCTTTTAAACATGGACTATCACTTTATTGCCCAGTAAATAAACATCAGACCCTTCAAAATCTTCCACCAGTGTGTCTCATTTGACTTAGTTCCTGTACTGATTCTCACTTGGATTTAGCCAAGTCAATTTTTTTTACATGTATGTAATGTGTACCATGTGCATGCAGTGCCTGCAAAGGCCAGAAGAGGGCATGAGATCTCCTGGAACAGGAGTTACAGATGGGTTCTGCAAGAGCAGCAAATGCTCCTAACAGCTGATCTATCGCTCCGGTTCCTCAAGCCCAGCTTGTCAGTGTTCACAGACCTCCTCTAGCACCTCTTATGCCCTTTCTTCCTTGGGGCATGTGTCCATGTTTCTTGTGATTTTTTTTTTTTTCTTGTGATGCTTTTATCTTATATTTGGAGAACTCATTGAAGCAGAACTGGATTGGGATAAAAAGTTTTCTAGGCAGGTTTAAAAAGATTGGAAATTGTCCTTTTTTACTGAACTAATTAATGGGTATGTCTTAAAAGAGTCAAGAATCAAACTTTAAGTTTTATCAAGCACCAAAAATAGTCCCTGGCAGTGCAATCTGATTTTGTACTATCTGATTAATGCTTATTTCATATTTTCTGGAGAGAGGGTTCACAAAACCATTTCTTCTCCTTTAAAGGATATTAGGAGCCAGGTTTATCACTCCAGAAACTTATAAAGGTGGTCTTTTTGCTGTTATTGGGCTATGATAAAAATGATCTTGACTGGTTGACAAGTAGAGGCTACATTTGAACTACAGAGTCCTGTAGAAAGCAGTAACTTTAGTTTTCCTTAGGAGGGGAAACTGATTCTTGACTTGTCTCTTGGTTGGGGGGTGGTCCCTGAGACCTAGGAATACCAAGTTCTTGATTTCTGTGAGTATGTGATGCTAAATTTATGGTGGATCATGCACCCACAGATGAGCTGTCACTCAAGGTTGGAAGTAGTCAACTTGGAGGACTGCTGTATAGACCACTACAAGGCCTCATGCTGATGAGACACAACAGTGCTGCCCTGTTGGGATTCTGTGCTTAACTTTTCCACATAAACCTGATGCCAGCATGGCTCTGGTTGTCTTTGAGTCTCAATGCCAAGTTGAACATACCTGTGGTGGGTGCCTACTATAACCATTAGCCCATAAGCTTTGAGATGACTCATGACACATCAATTTTGTTAACTACTGTATCCCTATCGCACAGCGTGGCCTGCTGCACATGGTTGAAGACTCATGCACGTTTGTTGAAAACACTTGGCTGTGGATCTCAAAAGGTGACATTAAACCTGATTACCATTTTCAAAGCTTCTGTTAATATGTTCCAGATCAGGGTATTCCTCCATGTTGACCTCACTGAACAAAGCTTCCAGAACCATCAGGTCAAATGTCTTCTCCAGTTGATCCAGGACTCTGTATACCACTTTATGTATGGGGATCAGGTTTCTACAAGAATCTTGAAGATCCTTTAAAAGTATTGAATGGAGAAAATTTAAGTCCAGCCTTCCAAGTTATAAAAGAGCCCTAGAAAGTAATTTTAAGTGAATGCATCTCAATTTCCCTTTTATACATATCTTTTTGTGTAAAGTTTTGGAATTTTTATATATTTATATGGCTACTTCATGAAACAAGTCAATATTTCTTCTTCAAAAAAACCCACTGGTGACTGAGTCAACACCCTCATTTACACAGCCTGTAAAAAGGAGCACTTTTGAAAGGAAAAAAGTAGGTTAAAGGCTAACCGTGGCGCCAAAAAGATGGCTCAGTGGTAAAGGCATTTGTTGCCAAACCTGATGATCTGAGTTCAATCCCTGGGACCCACATTGATTCTAAAAGGCCCCATAGAACCATTCCTTCAGATAGAAGCTGGGCCATCTCCTGCAGTCTGTATTTCTCCCCTCCTTCCTAACTTGAAAGAACACTTCCAGAAATATTTATTTTAAAAGCATCAATTTAGGAGACCTGGATTTTAAATCTGACTCTATAATTCTGATTTGTCATTGATCAATTTATTTTTCTAATCAACATCTCTACAAAATACTATGAAACCCAAGAGCTTTCTTTGTCAAAAATTAAGTCCAACCTAGAAAATGTAGTCATCCAGTCATGCTTGGAAGTTTGGCTCCAGGAAAGCAAAAGCATAACTTAATTTGGGGCTTGTTTACCAGGTTGTGATGTGAATGTTACTTACTTCATACATTTTATCGTTGATGAGTCCACGATCACGGAGGCCCTCAAGGAAAGGAAATGGCTTTTTTATTGCTTTTGAAATCTCCACTTTATATTTTTTGAAGTGCTGGAATACAGACTCAAGAGGAAACCTGTCTTCCAGGTTCTGGTCTTCTGTGGACATCCTGGGGGGGACACCATAGGAAAGTGGTCATCGAGACTGTAGGTGCTTCTGGAAGTTAAAGGTTTTATAGCTGAAAGATACACTATGAAGAACTGACATCCATAACAGATGGTCCTGAGTAGAGTTAAACCAAATAAATGAAATTCAAATAATAAACAAAGACATAATAGAAGAAAATATGGAATTTATAAAAGGTTTCTATATGGAACTTAAAAAGTCCAGGGGACACATCAGTGTGATTCATCAGATTGAACTGGTTCTTTTCATCACATAGTGATCATGAAAAATGATGTGTGTGTTTATATTCCAAACCCATCTTGATGGCAACTTGGGCTAATGGCCTCTGCTCCCAAGAAAAGATTTGTTTAACACTTTTATAGTCATATTTGGCAGATTGTAAATAGGACTCTGTCTTGCTTATTCTTGCAGTCGCTGTGTGTTGTTAGGGTTTTTCTGACTTTTTAAGCTTTGTGATTGCATCATATGAGAACTGGGCTGGTTGGCAAAATAGGCTTGTCAGTGGCTTGGTCACTTCCAAATGCTTTAAGAGTTAGGAAAACTCTTAAGAACTTAAGGTAACCAAACTCAGGAATCCCAAAGTTGGATGCATTGTGCCATTGGCTTAGGACCTGTCTGCAGCTAGATGCTAGACGCCTTTGAGTTTGAATTTTCTTTTTTGTCACATGGAAATGTAAGCCAGCCCTAAATAATCAAAACACTTTATCTTATTTTTCTTTAACAGAAACTTTCTGAAGAAAAAATGATGTGCAAAACCTTTGCTATTTAAGACAATAAAGTTTTTATCGTAAGACTTAAAACATTTTTTTTAAATTAACACAAAACTAAGATAGATTAAGCAGATGATCCACGGAGGACCAAAAAGTAACAGAATAAAAGTGAAATCCATGGAGCTAGAGACAGCTCAGTGGTTAAGTGTGCTTGCCCTGCAGTCACAGGGACTGGAGTCAGATCCCAGCTGCCATATAACAAGCCAGTCATCCTGCACATACTTATAAACCCAGCTCTGGGATGGGTGGAGGGAGACAGGACAATTAGGGCTTGCTGACAGAGAAACTCTGAGCTCCAGGTTCAGAGAGAGACCCTGCTTCAAAGGAACAGGTGGAGAGTGAGAGAGGAGGATATATGATGCCCTCTTCTGGCCTCCACACAGATGTAGAGATGTGCATACCTGCACATATGTGTACATACACACACAAAATAATAATAATAAATCTTTTAAAAACTGAATGCCAGGGGCTGGAGAGATGATTCAGTGGTTAAGACCATGTATTGCTCTTGCAGAGGACCTGAGTTTGGTTCCCAACACCCACATCAAACAGCTTACATACAACCACATACAACCACCTGTAACTCCAGCTCCTTCTCTGCCTTCCACAGGCACCTGCACTCATGTGCACACATACACCCACACACATATATACACAACTAAAAATAAAAATAAAGTATTTTTTAAAAAAGAAAACCAGGCTTAAAAATGTATCTTAATTAACAGAGAGAAAATAAATCCCAGGAAGACAAAAACAAGATATCCTTTATTTGACCCATAGCTATTAGGGGGGCAAAATGTCACCTTACACTATAAAATTAATTTGTAAAAATGCAATGCGATTTAGGGGCTGGAGAGATGGCTCAGCAGTTAAGAACACTGGCTGTTCTTGCAGTCTGACAGCCTCTTTTGCCCTCCACAGGCATTGCACAACACGGGTGCTCTTACCTACATGCAGGCAATACACGCATACACATAAAATAAAAATAATAAAATATTTTAAAAAGTAATAAATAAAAAAATAAAATAAAAAATGCAATGTGATTTAATACTAAAAAATAATATATATGTGTAAGGTGGGAGTTTCCAAAACTATCAGTGGCATGCTCTGGTTTTATTTTAATACAAATCTGTCTGCAAATCTTTTCAGGTATCTGAATTGCAGATATTGCTGTAGCTTCCTGTGAGAGATTTTAATTCTGATCCATAGTTAATGACTTTATTGTTCTAATAATAATGCTTTAATCTTTATACTTCTAAAAGTTATAAAAAACCCACAAGCTTTGTCAAGTCAGATTAACACAATGGACCCATCCCAGTACTCAGCATGCAGTGAGGAATAATAATAATTCCACACTGTTATTTTAAATTCCCAGTAAGAAGTCCCTGGTTGAAGACTGAAGATTGGGCTGGTGAGATGGCTCAGCAGATAAAGACGACTACCACTAAGCCTGAGGACCCGAGTTCAATCCCCAGAACTCACATGGTGGGAGAAGAGAACCAACTCCCACAAGTTGTCCTCTGACCTCCACACATGCACCACGGCATGTGGGTACCCCCCCCCCTGCCATATACACTGAATAAAATAAATGAAGATTCAAGACTGAAGGGAAACATTTGCCTTTTATGATTAAAAAATAAGATACTTAAATAACAACAAAGAAATTAGATTCATAATGGCAAAGACAATAGAAGAGGACAAAGAAAAAAATGAATGATTTAACCCAAAATCTGTGAAACCAAAAAGCACCAAGAGAAGTGTTCATTGCTGTGGTGGGTGGACAATCCTCCCAGAGGTCAGGAAGGCAGCCTGTATACTTGGGGATCCCTGAGAGACAGTGGACTTGTGAGGGATACACAGTGTAAAGTGGTGTGTTATTGAGAGACGAACAAAGCAGAACATCCTTCCCTAGAAGCACATGCTGCCCACAGTTGGCAGGGAACCGCACACTGTCCTGTCATCTGGGCAGCCTCCCAGGGGCTCAAGCTGCTGTCATTTCAGTCACCATGCACTCATTTTGCCTGTTTTTGACTTCACATAGATAGAAAAACACATACGCATGCTTTTGTGCCTGTCCTTTGCCCACCGTCTATGTTGTCTGCAGCAGGAGTCTGCTCTTTCTTACTGCTGAGAGGTGTCTCATTGTGTGAGACCAGTGCATTCTGTTTGTCCATTTTCTGTTGATGGGCATTTGGGTTGATTCTGTTATGAATAGAGCTGCTGTTCTTGTACAAGTCTTATTATGGCAAAGTGTTTTCATTTCCTTAGGTAAATATCCAGGAATGGAATTGCATAGGAATTGTGTAGGAACAAGTTTAACTATCTCAGAACTTTCCAAACTGTTTTTTAAGTCTGTTATAAATATTTGTTCTTAGGCTAGGTGAGATGGCTCAATGGGTGATGTGTTTGTCATGCAAACATGAGAACCAGAGTTCGGATCCCCAGCACCCATGTAAACGCAGGGCAGGTATGGGGGCCCACCTGTAATCCCAGCTCAGGAGAGGTGGAGAGGGGAGAGCCCTGGGGCAAGCTGGCCAGCTAGACTAGCCAAATCAGCACACTCTGGATGCAAGTGCGAGACCCTGACTCAATATATAAGGTGAAGAGTGACTGAGGAAGACACCCAACCTCAACCTTGGGCCTCTCTACACCTGCACCTGCGCACCAGGATACCCATGAACACCACACACACATATACTTGCGGAGGGAGAGAGAGAGAGAGAGAGGGAGGGAGGGAAGGAAGGAAGGAAGGAAGGAAGGAAGGAAGGAAGGAAGGAAGGAAGGAAGGAAGGGAGGAACAAACGGAGAGAAAGAGAAAGATTTTCTTAGGCTAACCATTCTGGTATGTGTGGATTCTCACTTTAGTTAAAAATGAGGTAATTTGCATAAATACTAAAACAATGTACATTATGTGGCCTATCATTGTATTCATAAAAACATTAGAATCTAATAAAATCCTTAAGAACTAGAAAAAGCATTTGCCAAGGAACATAAATTAAAAATACATAAAACAGTCAGGCATGGTGGTGCACAGCTTTAATTCCGGCACTTGGGAGGCAGAGGCAGGCAGATGTCTGTGAGATTGAGGCCAGCCTGGTCTACATAGTAAATTCCAGGCCAGACCCTGTCTAAACGAACAAACAAATAAAAAACCCACAAAACACACAAAAAATGATAAAACATATATATATATGCAATCATAATGAAGGCAGTTAAATGAGATAAATAAATGAAGCTCCATGAAGTGCCCTGCATTTGTTACTTTTCTTGTTGCTGTAACTAAATATCAGACAAGAAGCAACTTAAGGAAGGGAAGGTTTGTTTGGCCTCATGATTTGAAGTTACAGTCCACCATGACCAAGCAGGCATGGTGGTGGAAGCAGCTCTGGGCTGGGGTGGTGGGAGTATGGGGCTCACATTCCAGGATCAGGGAGCAAAAGCAGACCAGGGAGCCAGGCCACACTATAAACTTTGCCTCTCTCCTCACCTTGCCCCCAGAAATTCACTCCCTCCTGCCAGGCCTACGTTCCAAAGGTCCTACAACTTTTCAAACCAGGGCCAGCAGCTTGGGACCAAGTGTTCCAACACATGAACCTGTGGGGAACATTTTACATGCAAATTGTAGTACATACTCAGGAACGCATAAAATCTCAACCCTCCTGAGTGTGTGGCACACTTAAAACCTGAAGCTTTATTAAATTTGGATAAAAAGATACAAATCTTTCCATGACAGAACAAATATCTAAGTCAGACAAGAAAAATATGGAAAGAAAATAGCTTCAGAAAGATTTCTTTTAATGGATTTAACGTTCAATAAATATATAAAAAGACAATATAGAGCTGGGCATGGTTGCACATTCATTTAATCTCAGCACTTGGGAGGCAGAGGCAGGCGGATCTTTGTGAGTTCAAGGTTAGCCTGGTGTCTGCATAGTGAGTTCCAGGCCAGCTGGTGCTACAGGGAGACCCTATCTCAAAGAAAAAGAGAAAAGACAGTATAGAAAAAATATTTTCAGTAAATACGACAAGGAGATACTATATTCTGTCCTATAAAGACTTCAGTCTGATAATAAAAATGTCAAATTAAAAGGATTGGATGCTCAGAGAAGAGAAAATTAAGATAGCTGATAAAGGGGTTGAGAACTCAGCAGACCACCTGAGAGCACCTGGATCTATCCTCCATGTGGTGGTGAGCATCCCCAAATCAAGTAGT